TACCGATACACAATTAAGAGCGAATTACGATGCCCAGGCTCGCCCACGACCTCTCCGAATACAAAATGCCCAGAATGAGGCCCGCTGCCCAGACTCTCGGCGGCCAAACATGGCAGGCAGGAGCGTAGAGTTTCCACCGAAATCTGGATGGCGTGCTCGTGAACAGCTCGCGTGTCCTCGAGCAACTTTTGGACTTTGCAGCTCCAACGCCATGGAAAGCGAGCCCGGGGTCCTTACCCCAGGCAGACCCAGGCAGAGCCCCGCGAAGAGCCGCCAAGGCTGAAGGAGCATGTACCCAACGGGCACTCACTCTTCGAAGAACGTTGCGGCTTCGAGGGGTAAGATACGCAGGAAGATGGGGGCGCTTTCTTCCGTATCCTTTGCTTGCCTATCGTTATGAAGTCATAACGCCGAGAGTCGTGTGGGCGCTTCTCCCGGCGGACCAAGACTACATCTTCTCCAAGCCCCCCGAATATTTTGGGCTTGGGTTTCCTCCAACTCTCGATATCAACAGACATCATCTCTTCCCCTCGGCCACCTCTCTATCTTCCTCTTTCTTCCTATGCACGCCTGTTCTCTTGATCTGAAGGGGGTAAAAGTGCTTGAACCTGGATAAGAGCACTCACACTTTTGCCCGTTCCATGCCGCATTCGTCAAGAGCCAAATAAACTCCTAACCCTCCGATTGGATCCGACGTCGAGTCTTGGCACCGCCCGGAGATCTCGTTGAGGATCGCACGACACCGCCCCATTCCCGCCCTCTGCCCCTTAACCACCGTGGTCTGGATTACCCATACTTGAACTGAAAGACATTCAACATGGGCAAGAAGGATCCCGAGGCCGAGGCGATGGCCAACCACGTCTCTGGCCAGTCTAACAAGCCACTGTCTCGTCCGGCACATGCCCTGTCTACTGAAGAAGTAATCCGGGAGCTCAGAGCCAACCCTGATGATGGTCTGACCCCAGAAGAGGCCAAGACTCGTCTTGACGAGTATGGCCGTAACGAATTTGGCGCCGACAAAGGCGTCCAACCCATCAAAATTCTCATCGGACAAATTGCCAATGCCATGACCTTAGTAAGAACCACGCTTGGTAGTCTCGTTTGAAGCTGGCTAACTGGCTCGACTAGGTCCTCATCTTGGCCATGGGTGCTTCTTTTGGAATCAAATCCTGGATCGAAGGTGCTGTCGTAGCAGGCGTCATCACACTCAACATCGTCGTCGGCTTTCACCAAGAGTTCAAGGCCGCAAAGACCATGGATTCCCTTCGTTCTCTCAGCTCACCAACGGCCCAGGCGGTCCGCCAGGGTAGAAATGTCACAGTCCCTACCGTCGAGATTGTTCCTGGCGATATGGTTGAGCTCAAGACTGGTGACACAATCCCTGCTGATGTGCGCATTGTCGAAGCCGTCAACTTCGAGACCAACGAGGCTCTCCTGACGGGAGAGTCTCTTCCCATCCGCAAGGAGGCCGCGCAGACATTCCAGGACGATACCGGCCCCGGTGACCGTCTCAACGTCGCTTACAGCTCTTCAACAGTCACAAAGGGGCGCGCTCGCGGCATCGTTTTCGCTACTGGAATGTACACCGAAATTGGCCAGATCGCCGCCGCCCTCAGAGGCAAGAACTCTCGCCGCCGCGACGTTAAGCGCAAGGAAGACGGCTCTGCTTCCTTGGCCCGCTACGTCCAGGCATGGGGGCTCACCCTCTCCGACGCTGTTGGACGCTTCCTTGGAGTGAATGTAGGAACGCCCCTCCAGAGAAAGTTGTCTAAGCTCGCGATCCTGCTTTTCGGCACCGCTGTCGTCTGCGCCCTGATCGTTTTGGGTGCCAACGACTTCAACACGACGCAAGAAGTTGTCATCTACGCTGTTGCTACTGGTCTCGCCATGATCCCTGCATCCTTGGTCGTCGTTTTGACTATTACAATGGCTGCTGGTACCAAGAGAATGGTCCAGCGCCATGTCATTGTCCGCCAGCTAAAGAGTTTGGAGGCTCTCGGGGGCGTCACGAGTGAGTCAACTGTATCGATGCCCTTGTTTCGCTACTAATACATTCCAGACATTTGCTCCGATAAGACCGGAACTCTGACCCAAGGAAAGATGGTTGTTCGCAAGGCCTGGATCCCCGGAAAAGGAACCTTTTCTGTCAGCAATACTAAGGAGCCCTTCAACCCTACCGTTGGCGACCTCGGTCTTCAGCCGGCACAGCCCAAGGACATTGACTTCCAAGGCCAGGACGGCGAGGGCGAGCAGATCTCTGGCCCCGGAGAGATGGTCCTCCAAAGCAGAGTCCTCATTGACTACTTCAACATCGCCTCGCTCGCCAACCTGGCCAATGTCCACAAGACCGCTGAGGGCGAGTGGCATGCCCGTGGCGACCCGACCGAAATTGCTATTCAAGTTTTCGCCTCCCGCTTCAACTGGAACCGCCTCCGTTTCTCCGGCGAGAACAGCCGATGGCGCCAAATCGCTGAGTTCCCCTTTGACTCCGACGTCAAGAAGATGTCCGTAATCTTCGAGGACACCGAGGCTGGCAGTGATGGGAAGGAAAGCAAGACCTGGCTTTTCACCAAGGGTGCCGTTGAGCGCGTCATCTCTTCCTGCCCCAAAATCCAAATGGGCGACGAGGTTGTCGATCTCACCAAGGACATTGAGAACGATATCTTGAGGAACATGGAGGCGCTTGCTCGCCTTGGTCTTCGTGTCCTTGCCTTTGCTAGCAAGTCTGACATTGGTACCGTTGACAGCCATGAAAACTTGGACCGCGCAAACTTTGAGAAGGAGCTTACCTTCCGCGGCCTCATCGGTCTTTATGATCCTCCTCGCCCTGAGTCTGCGCCTTCCGTCAAGCAATTTCACCAGGCTGGTGTCAGCGTCCATATGTTGACTGGCGATCACCCCGAAACCGCGCGTGCCATCGCTCTGGAGGTCGGAATCCTTCCCACCCGCATGAACGAGATCTCTTCCGTTGTCGCAAGGACTATGGTTATGGCCGCTAGCGACTTCGACAAGCTCTCTGATGATGAGATTGACAAACTGCCCCGTCTGCCTCTTGTCGTCGCGCGCTGTGCGCCCCAGACCAAGGTGCGTATGATTGAGGCCCTCCACCGACGTAGGCGCTTCGTGGCCATGACCGGTGATGGCGTCAACGATTCGCCTAGTTTGAAGCGCGCGGATGTCGGCATTGCGATGGGCGAGAGCGGCTCCGATGTTGCCAAGGAGGCATCTGATATCATTCTCACGGACGATAACTTTGCCTCGATTCTTAACGCTGTCGAAGAAGGTCGTCGTATGTTCGACAACATCCAGAAATTCGTTTTGCACGTGTTGGCCTGTAACGTCGCCCAGGCTTGCACTCTGCTCATTGGTTTAGCATTCAAGGATGAGAGTGGCCTGTCCGTTTTCCCACTGGCCCCTGTAGAGGTCATGTGGATTATCATGATCACTTCCGGTCTTCCTGATATGGCGCTCGGCTTTGAAGTCGCTGCACCTGATATTATGGATCGACCGCCGCAAGACGTAAGTGGTGCTCACAACCTGTTATTTGTCCAATTAATGCTAACAACTCGAACAGATGAAGATTGGCGTCTTCACCTGGGAGCTCATGCTCGACATGCTCGTCTACGGTCTCTGGACCGCCGCCCTTTGCCTTGCGTCCTTCTTGCTCGTCATGTTCGGCTGGGGCAACGGTGACTTTGGCGTGAACTGCAACAACGATTACTCCGACCGCTGCGACACCGTGTACCGCGCCCGCGCTACCTGTTTCGCCGCACTCACCTGGTTCGCGCTCTTTCTCGCCTGGGAAATGGTCAACATGCGACGCTCCTTCTTCCGCATGCAGCCCAAGAGCAAGAAGTACTTTACTCAGTGGTTCTGGGATACCTGGCGCAACAAGCTCCTGTTCTTCGCCATCATCATCGGCTTCGTGACCATCTTCCCGCTCACCTACATTCCCGTCCTCAACACTAAGGTGTTCAAGCATGCTCCCATCACCTGGGAGTGGGGCATCGTTTTCGTGTGCGCCATTCTGTTCTTCGCCGGTATCGAGGCCTGGAAGTGGGCCAAGCGCATCTACTTCCGTCGCCAGTCGCACAAGCAGCATGGCGCCAACCCGGATCTCGAGAGTCGTGTCTTCGGCCACTACTACACCATTGGCGGCGTCGAGCTTGAGTCTTCGCCGACTCTGGGCAGCAGGACCATGACCAATGAGAAGGAGATGCGGGAGAAGGGTGGCAACGGATACTCGAGCGCGGGTAGCAGGTGATGTTACCGTCCAATTGAACAAAAGTGATTTCACCTGTGGGCGAGTCTAGAGGAATAGCAGGTTTGAGAGGAGGCAAACAGAGGCATTTGTCAGATGACGATGCCTAATGAGCATGATTCACGCGTTGCAGTTTGCTTTAATAGAGGCGGGTTACATTAACCAAGAATGAAAAGTTCCTGCTTTGTCAAGAGCCTCAGCAGGACAGGCTGCCAGCATCAAATCGTTAAATCAAGTTGTAATCTAATTCGTTTGACCAGTCTTTTGCCTGAAAGCGAAAGATGACATGTGATCGTTCGCCTTGCAACCGCTCGAGCTGGCTTTTGGGAACATCCAGGTCACGGAAGCCGCCAAGTCGGTCCCACCCTTGCTGCACCTACCCTCAACTCCACAACGTCCCGGCGATAATCATCACATTGTGCGCAGAGTTTTCAACAACATCCGATATGGTGTAGTGGCCAACATGATGCCCTCTCATCTCTGTGAGAGGTTAGGCATAGCCCCGAGTTCGATTCTCGGTTTCGGAACATTTCATTTTGCATTTTTGCACCATTCTTCAAGAACACTGAGAAGCAAGCACGCTTCCTCACTTTGGCCCGGCTCATGGCGACTCCGATCATCATGGGAAGAGCGAAATGTGTCCATAATCTAACATGCTATCTAAACAAAACATTTGTCGCCTCTACCAGTCAATCTAATAACCGTACGCCGTGTACACCACCCACCCAGCCCGACTCACTCAGAGCTTCGCGCGACCCCTCCAAGGCTGACCCATCTCATCCTTGTACGTCGCAAGCTCGTTACGCTTGCTGTCTCCGCCGTGGCTGACCTGCACCGGCTCGTCAAACACGGACTTATTCTCCCTCTCCTTCCTCTGCGCGGCGTCGACGTAGTTCCGCTCTCCCTCGCCAATGTACAGCTGCCTCGGGCGCCAGATCTTGACGCCGCCCTTCTGCAGCATCTGCTGCCTCCAGTGCGCCAGCCAGCCCACGCAGCGCGGCACGGCGAACAGCACCGGGTAGAAGTCGAGCGGGAAGCCCATGGCCTGGTAGATGAGGCCGGAGTAGAAGTCGACGTTGGGGTACAGGTTGCGCTTCTTCATGAACTCGCTCTCGCGCGCGTACTTTGCGAGCTCGAGCGCCGTGTCCAGGAGCTGGTTGCGGCCCGTGACGGCGAAGACCTCCTCGGCCAGCTGGCGGATGGCCGTCGAGCGCGGGTCGACGTTCTTGTACACGCGGTGGCCGAAGCCAACCAGCACGCGCTCGCGCTTCTCGACCTTGGCCATGAAGGCGGGCACGTTCTCGGGGCTGCCGATCTCCATCAGCATGCGGATGGCGCTCTCGCTGGCGCCGCCGTGGCTGGGGCCGTAGAGCGCGGCGCAGCCCGCGGAGACGACGCTGTACGGGTCGACGAGACTGGAGCCGACCTGGAGAACGGTCGCCGTGGAGCAGTTCACCTCGTGGTCGGCGTGGATGATGAAGAGCGCGTCCAGGGCCTTCTCGAGGACCGGGTGGGGCTGGTACTCGTGGCCGCTGAGGTGGTCGAGGAGGTAGAGGAAGTTGCCGGTGTAGCTGAGGCCCTGGGCGGGGCGGTTGAACGGTCTGCCCTGGCGCATGCGGTAGGAAGCGGCCGCGAGGGTGGGAGCCTTGCCGATGATGCGGAGGATCTGCTTGTCGAGCATCTTGAGGGCCTCCGGGTCGCCGGACGCGGCGTTGGTGTAGAGCTTCTGACCCTGCAAGCTGGGGTTGGACTCGGGCGCGAAGGCACCCAGGGCGGAGAAGGAGGACTGAAGCATGGCCATGGGGTGCGTGTCGTAACGGAAGGACTTGAACATGCCCTCGATGTCGCTGTGGATGTAGGTGTGGTGCATGATCTCATCCTGCCACTTGTTGTACTGCGTCGACGTCGGCAGCTCGCCGTAGATGAGGAGGAACGCGCTCTCGAGGAAGTGCGACTTGTTCACCAGCTGCTGGATAGGGTACCCGCGGTACCGGAGGATTCCATCCTGGCCGTTGATGTATGTGATGTTGCTCTGCACGACGGCGGTGTTCATGTAGGCCGGGTCGTACACGCGGAGACCCTGGTCCGTCTCATCCTCGGCGCGGTCGTTGCCTCTCGCGGCCTTGATCTTCTTGATATCCGTAGCCTGGACGGAGTTGTGAGTGATGGGCAGCTCGTAAGACTTTCCGGTGCGGTTGTCGACGACAGTGAGAGACTGGCGCGGAGCGGGTGTCGCGCCACGTGGCGCGTTCTTCACAGTAGTGACCATTTTCCTTTTCTTGAGTTGTTCTGCCCAAATTCGAATTGAGTTAAGAGAGGACAGATCAGGCAAAAAATGAGGTGGCAGTTTCACACAATGGTCTTTGATGAGAGAGACTTCTTGTATCCGTACATGGGGAGACAATGCGCGTCACCCGGACAGCTGAAAGGAGGTCCGGCTGGCGTCGGGGGTCGGCAGTGCTGGCCCGAGTGCCGAGGTTGTTTTCCATGCTCCTAATGCGGTAAGATCTGATGCCTGTAGCGTGGGAAGCTCAAGCACATGCCAGGGGTCCCAAAGTCTCGTTGGGTGTTTCGTCGATTGAGCTGCAAGAGACACATGCCATTGTTTGTTGACTTGATCACAGGTCCAGCCCGTTGGTTCTGGATTGCTGGAAAACGGACGAGCGGATGAGCTTAATGGAGGGCGCTAGCAGAGTTGCATTTCCATTGCAGATACAGGGGGGGATCCTTGTATGATCAGCTAAAATGACGGGAGACGAACGGCCAACAGCGCTGGCGTCCTTCTAGAGAGCTTCATCAATCTGGGGTATGTATGGGCTGGGCACTAGGCCATGACCCCAGGATTGCACCAAGGACTCGCCTTTGACTAAATGGACTTGGCCTCTTTCATATGTAGGACCTCGGCAGTGACTGTTTGGGGGCGCAACGTATCGCGATTGACAACTATGACAAGTGATAGAGTTGGTTGGCTCTTGTGGTGCATAGGTAGTCATGCTCGCCGTGGACTGAGAATTTGTTCTCCTTCCTGTCCTGTGAAGACGAGCAGCCCAATTTCGAAATCAACTCAGCACCAAATTTGAGAGTGGTGTTCGTCTGTTCAGAACCGCAGGTTCAATGATATTTAGCTCCTTTTTTCTCTTCTCGTCACCTTTCCCATCGGGATAAACCCATGAACCCATCTTCAAGCCCCAGAACATCATGGCTCAGGCCCGACAAAACCCACCTCCGGTCCTCGCGGCCGCGACACAGCCGGAAATTCATTTCTTGGCGGAGACCCTCACCAGCCTGAATCCCGTCGGAGTCGGCATCGTCTCCGTCGCTGGAGTTTGGTCCGACCGGAGTGGATTCACTCAAAGGATGATCTTTCGTAACATTCGTGAATAGTTCATTGGCTGTCGACCCTTGAATGCATACTGCAAGCGCATAAGCAGCTCCTCTCCGCGCATGACGTAAATCCGTTTGAGAACCTCCACAGCGGCGGCCCTGGACTATGTTTTGCGGAACCGAGGCCACTACCGAACGCCATCCCCGCAAGACTCCAAACTCCGGACCTGACCCCTCACCTCAACATATATTCTGCTGAGGCTGAAGTCAGCAGAAGAATTATTTCGCAAGAGGACTATTAGGAACTCATCCAAACACTATCGAAATTACACCCGCCTGGTTCAAAAATCTCAGACGAAGACATTGAGAGCTTCTTGTCTCACTTACAGGCGTTCCTACGGGTAGACCACGACTGAGACACTCACGCAGCACCCGCCAAACTGTCAGCAACTCAAAATGGCGGCGTTGGTGCCAGTTCTTGTGGCTGGTCTGGCCGTCTTTGGTGGCTACACCTACGGGCCAGCCATCAAGCAAACGGCGACGGTTCTCGGAGTATCACGGACCGTCAATAACACACCTGTCGAGCACGGCGGTGACCTCGTCTACATCGGCGACACGATTCACTGCGAGGATATTCACCATCATGAGCCGAGTGGTCTGCTTTTCACCGCGTGCGAAGACGACACAGAGACGCGCAAGGCATGGTTCCCGCCTCTGGGAACTTTCGAGGACCCGGTCAAGGCAAGCAAGTCTACTGGCTCTATTCACATTATTGACCCCAAGGTAAGCTCAACGTGGCTGGGGTGCAATGTGCAAGTCAACTGACAGGCCCGCCAGGACATGACCACCAAACGCCTCAAGTTCGAGAACTTTGACAGCACTTTCATCACTCACGGCATCGATGTCATTTCCGACCCGGAAAAGGCTGACGCTGTCTATGTGTTTGCAGTCAACCACGTTCCCCACGCCGACTATCTCGTAACCAAGGCTGGAGGCCAAGGAGATCAGAAGGTCTTGGACAAGGCCCAATCTCGAATTGAAATCTTCCATCACATCCTGGGCTCATCCACCATCAGGCATGTGCGCTCCGTTCAGCACCCGCTTGTCAAGACGCCCAACGACATTTTCATCAAGGACCCGCACTCCTTTTATGTCACCAATGACCACTTCTACCGCGAGGGAACGATGCGCCTCATCGAGGACCTGTGGCCTGGAGCATCTTGGACAGACACTATCCACGTCACCATTGACAAGCTTTCTGCGCTGAAGCCCACAGACGGCGTTACGGCGCAGGTTGCCTACGAGGGAATGAGAAACAACAACGGCCTGGGCCACTACAAGCCTGGGTACATCCTGATTGACGATTGTTCCGGCGCCGCAATGCACATTGGCAAGCTGTCTTTGGATCCGAAGAACGTCACCATCGATATCGAAGATTCCGTCCATTTTGACTCCTACATCGATAACCCCAGCTATTTCAACGACCCGTACAAGTCCGAGACCCAGGATGCCAGCGGCTTCATCCTGCCAGGTCTCATCCGGCCCATTGATATTGTGAAGCAGATTGGCGATCCTACCTCTAACATCGGATCTATTGTCTGGTATGCGAAGCCGATTGCGAACTGCGACAAGGCCAAGGCCGAATGCTGGGAGAAGCGCGCTCTGTTTGAGGATGATGGAACCAGAATTCGTTCAGCTGCCGGCGCAGTCTTGGTGGGCATTGACCCAGCCACGGAGAACAACAAGAAGAAGGCGTGGCTTTTTGTAACTGGCTTCTACTCGAGCGCCGTCGTGGCTGTCAAGGTCGACCTTTGAAGGCTTTCATTTGATGGCCAGACTGTAAAAAAAGTTCTTCAAATGACGCCGGCGAAGTTTTGGTGGTGTGTTTCGAAGTCGGAAAAGGGGAATTCGGCATGCGTCGTCCATTGTCTTGGTCTTGTTAGGCTCAAAAGTGGAAATAATAAAACGTTGGGTGTAAAGAGAGTTGAAAGAGCAGCGTATGAGAGCCATGTGAAAGTGAGAGATAATTCCAAAATCACCAACCCGAAGGCTGAGCACTTCGATTGAAACTTGATGATCACATGTGAGCGCTCATCAATCTTGTTGGAGACGTTCTCTTTCAATCCACGATAGGATCCTAGCAACCAGACTATGTACCAAATGTTGCCAAAATATCTCAGGTATCTCATCCTTCAGGTATTAATACAGAATACGACAAAATACAATCTTGCCTCCCACTTCCAAATATGGGGGGAGTACGCATGAGTGAACAAAAGGTATATATATACACAAGCTTAGATTCCAACCTCGACAGTAAAGTGGCGCTCTATTGGTTCTCCAAAACATCAAAGATACCCTCCATGACAGGTGGCGTCGTGTCGGCTCTGATGGGCTTATCAAATGAGAAGGAGTCCATCGACAGGATGGGAGTCGTGGCGACGGAGTTGCCCAGCGAGATTGATCTCGTCCCTACCGACGACGACGCCCGCGGCCGGGGTTCAAGCATACCCAAGCCGATCTCTTCGGCGCCGGAGGCATTGCGCTCAGCGTCAAGCATCATGTCCAGTCTGGAAGAATGGCGCCGAAGAGGCCGAGACCCGGGCCAACTGGGCGTTTGGGTCATGGCTCGCCTGGCCGAGTTGGGGCGAGGCAAAGGGAGGGAGACGGGGGAAAGATGGTTCGAAGACGGGATGGAAGAGAAGCTGGGAGTTCGTAGTAAAGGCTGCTGGGTGGTCGACGACTGGTACTCAAGCTCAAGAAGCATGAGAAGGTCTGTGACTGTGACACCATCGGGGAGACTGAAGTCCGGCCGAGGAATGCGCTTGTATGCGACAGACTTCGTCCTGCTCCTGTTCTTGGGCGGCTGAAGAGAGCCGGTCTCAACAGCCAAGCCCTCCGGCCTTCCCCGGGGCACGGGGACCGGGACGTCCGGTTCGCTTGGTCGACGAACTTCGCTTGCACAACTAGGCCGGCGCGCATCACTTGCGTAACTCGGCCGGCGGGCGTCACCGCCGGCGAAGGTGGTGAAGCTCGCGTAGCTGGGACGGCGATCGCCCGGCTCATCCGGCAGACTCGGGACGTCACCGGCAAACCCAAAGTCGAAGGCAGGGTCATTGGGCTGGTTGCCAAAGGTGTCTCGCTTCTGTGGGGGCTGGAAGTCGATGGTGTCCGTCCGTCTTGCTGGCCTGACCTCCGGTGCGACCTCGGGCTCAGTCTTCGGCTGAGCCACCGAATCGCGGGTCCCATTGCCGGAGAACCCGAAGTCGAATAATGAAAAGTCGGAAGCCCGCTTGTCACTCTGCTGAGCCGGCCTTGGCTCGGGGGACGGCGACGGCTTCTGCTCAGGTCGGGGGCTGAGCGGTTGGGTGAGAGACTGGGGTTCCGGGGTCTTGAGAGGCGAGCTATATAAGGGTTGATGCGTGGCAGGGCTCTCTGGGCGTGACCGTTGGCGCAACGACGGCGACCTCTGGAATGCCGACTGTAGACGAAGCTGCCCTCGTTGAGACTTGGAGAGCTGTCGTTGTACGCCGAGCCCAGGCACCGCTGGTGGAGATGCATCCGATGCAGACACAGGTTGTGCAGCGGGCATCATGCTCATTCTCCTCAGGGAGCTGAGGGAGTCCGGGGTCTTGGTCTCGAATGCCGACACTGCCTTGGAAACGGGGACATTTTGATGGCCAGTATGGTTCATCTCCTGGATGAGATACTGCAGTTGGTTGTCGTCGAGGTCGGCCAGGACCTCGTACAGGGAGCCGAAGGACGATGAGGGCTTGTGTCCCTTGCGATGAGACGGCGCCGGAGACTCCATGGCGGCTGATGGTTGCTGGTGGTAGTTACTGTAGTAGTGGTGGTGGCAGTGGGAGTGGTAGTACTGCGTCGACCTGGTCGAGAGCAACGTCTGTCGGCAGCGCTGGCCGTGAAACCGAATCTACACCGTCGCCTGTT